AACTTGACATCCTGGACTGGATCTGCCTCTAAGCCTGTTTCCCTAATTCAGCATTTGAGTTATATTCATTAGTAAACTGATGAAAGTACATATGAAATGACACATGACTTCACATGTACCCATTGTTCTAGCTCTAAGGCCATGTGTATGGTAAACTTGTCATGCCAGGCATCCCCAGCCTCAAGCATGTTGTACTGTTGTAGTGGTTTATAAAAATGTTACCACATCTGCGTGGTACTGTGGGTAAACTAATCTGCACTACTGAGTGACAGAGCCAATTGAGCTAATAAGCCCACCCACAGTGGTGTGCAGAAAACAGCTACTCTGTACACCTCTCCCTGAACTGTGAACACATCCATAGAATTGGTGTCCCTGTGGTATAAAACTGACATGTGGCTTTTGGTGACATTTTGCATGTAAAGTTACAGAAAAGTCATGAAAAGATATGAATACTGAAGGTTGTTTCCCCCCCTTCCTTTATGAACAATGAGTATTGAAAATCTTTTCTAGGATGTGAATATTTCTGAACTTATGAAGAAGCTAGATATTCTTGGAGATAATGGGGTAACACTTTTTTTATTTCAAATATATTTCTGGTCTTGTGTGTGTGTTTGTTCTGAAGTTGTTTTCTTTTTCTCTTGGTACATAGTACATGCCAGTAAATGCACTAGGGCATTTCTGAATGACTGAATTTGCATATTCATTGGCAAATGACAGGGATAGTTGTTACCAGCATAGGTGCAGGTTCCTTGCATTTTTTCAAAATATATTTGGGCCCCTCTTGAGTGGCATTTAAATACTTTTTTTAGGAACTGCAGGGGACAAGATATAAGACAGGAGAAAGAAGTCAAAGCTATATTCTTTTGCAATGCCTCTCAGATGTAAACTTGGGAGCTTACAAAGTGCAATGAGAGCTGGTTTATGAGAGGCATATGTTAGGAAAGCTTGAGTCTGGTCTGTAAGGCAGAGGGTTGATTCAGACAAGAGTTTCAGATCATAGATTAAACTGTGAGATCCAAAAGAATATTTATGGGAACTCTCTTATTCTGTGAGTAGCCTTCATTAATAAAAGGCCCAATTCTGCAATAGATTCCTTGCATTAGGGCTACTCTGCAGTGAAATGCCATTTCTCCCATTTAAAAAGATCACTAGACTGTAGCCACTTTGTTTTCATGGAACTGTTCCATTGAAAAGCCACGATGGGAATGATGTATTGAACTTAAGTGACTAGGGACTGTATCTACTTTACTTGAGCTTAATTTTTAATCACTGGGTATTTTCTGTTCTTGTTTTTTAAATAATCAGGCAGCTGATATACTTTGATGCATACAGAGTGTTTTGAGGAATGGATTTACAATCCAGTGTAAAATGCAATTGCACCTTTTTTCTGTTTTAGAATTTGAGAAACGAAGAACAGGTTGCAATAATCCAAGCTGGGACTGTACTTTCCCTCTGTGAAAAGGTAGACTTCACTAAAGCTTTTTGTCTGCACAAAACCAGAGCACACGAATCAGAAATTTGTATGATGATTTATCAGAGAAGCGTGGCCTTTCTGTTAAATTCACATGGATTTGAGCATGTGTTCATTACAACCATGTCTTCACTGGAGCTATGCATGTGGAGGGCTGTGACATACAATTAAGCATATTCAAAAATCTGGAGAAAAGGTATCATCTTTGGGATGTGCCAGCATCTTCCACTCCCACAAACCCCTCTGAGAAAAGAACCCAGAACCTCAAAAGAGGCTGCCCACTGCTTTGCATGATTGATATTATGGTAATTCTTTCTGTGAGGTGCTGAAGTCCAGAAGTGGTGAGCTGAGTACTGTCCTCTTCTATGGGAGTTAGTGGGGAAAAGAGGATACTCAGGAAGCACAGTGCGGGAAGCTTGCTGCACTCCTTTTTCCCATATGTTATATTGCATGAGAAGCAAAGATTTTAATTTTGGGGGGAAAAAGGCTCTTAATCTCTTTCCCCCTCTTAAACCTCTAAAAATGTCTCCAAAAAAGTTAAATAAAACAAACAAACACCCTACCTTTTTGTTTCCTGCTACTTACTTTACCTGAATGTACTATTAATGAGAAATTCAGTATCATGCGTGGCATTTTACTACTTTCTGACTCATTCAAATGTCCTCATCCTTTATCTCCTTAGTGTCACGTGGGGAAAATGTAAATAGCAAAACATGATGCAGTGTTTCTGTTGTTAAGGTTTGGTCCCCTCTTAAGACTTCGTTGAGCAAGTAGGGCACTGCTGATGTGTCCAACTACTGTATATTAAGTGAAGCAGCTTCTGAGCTCCGTATTGAAGGGTGATTAGGTTTCATGCTAAACCTAAATCCAGAACTGTATGCCTGGCACATTTCGTTGGCATCAGACCTAAACAACATAGTCAGCTGGTTTCAGAAAATAACCGCTCCAATCACCTGTAGCTTTTAAAACCAAAATGTGTCAGTCAGAGAACAGACGTGTAGTCGTCTGTTTTTCAAATAATATTTTTAGTATCCAAACTGAGAATTATTGGTTTAAAAAAAAAAATAGGCATCACGGTTGCACACATTGCTGAATTAACTTGCTATTTAAATGATCTTTCTTTGCTAATCCTCCGTGCCATTCAGCAGTGGATCTGTAATTGACCAGAATGTATAATTATGATCATCCAACACATAGTAGTCGAAGGAGTAGGGAGTGGTTTAGGAGGTTTTGGTAAATGTGATATTTAGTTCAATATTTAATTTTTAAGAAGTATTTTTCACTGGACAGATTATTAGATTACTCATTTCTGTGCAACTGGAACTAGCTTTCTATTTCTATCATTAATAGGTGCAAACAATGAGTCTGTTTAAATAAACCAGAAAGGAAAGTATTTTCCCCAGTAAGTCTTCTATTTAAAAAGTTGATATTAAAAGATGGATCTGCAACATCAAAACTCCATTGGTATTGTTAAATAGTTGATAATAACTAGCAAACGATGATTGTTTGATTCAGCTAAGTTATTGGTTGGTGTACACTAGGGCTGTGCAAAATTTTGGCAGCTATTTCATTTTGGAGGTGTTTCAGGCTGTTTCAGCATCCAAAACACCAAATCTGAATCAAGACAGAAGGCTCAGAAACATCTTTGGATCAAAACAAGGCATCCAAAAAGTTTTGAAAGTGTTTTGGAGATGTTTCAGACCCAGGCTTGCAGGGAAACAACTGTACGCTGCTGCCCTGTCACGCAACTCGACTCTGCAGGGAGCAGAGATCTGTGCTGGGGGTCTCCTTGCTGCCGCGGCCCACCCCTCGCTGCCCTGATGACGCAGGGCTGCTCGGGGTGGGCAGTGGCGGTGAGAAGACCCCAGCGTGGATCTCTGCTCCCTGCAGAGCCAGGTTGTGCGGCAGGGCAGTGCTGGTACCTGCCATGCGACCTGGCTCCGCAGGGGGCAGAGATCCAGAGCAGCACAAGTCAGGCATCAGCAGCTAGGGACCCCGGAGTGGATCTCTGCTCTCTTCGAAGCCAGGTCACACAGCAGGGCAGTGCTGGTGTCTGTGTGACCTGGCTCCACATGGAGCAGAGATCCAGGGCTGCATTTGGCAGGTAGCGGCGGCGAGGAGACCCCCAGCATAGATTTCTGCTCCCTGAGGAGCCAGGTCTCACGGCAGGGCAGTGCTGGTCCCTGCCATATGACTTGGCTCTGCAGGGATCAGAGATCTGTGGGGAGGGTCTCCTCACCTGCACGGAGGGCAGCAGCCCTCCGCCTCCCCCAGACAAGCCACCCCCAGCCCCATTCTGCTCCCTGCTGGGGCCCTGTAACCCTGCCCGGCTGGGCTCAAAACAGACTTGGAGGAGATTTCGTGGAAACAAAGCAGGACAGTGATCTGAAACACCGAAACGAATCACTGTTCTCCAAAACAGCTGAATCCAAACAGCCGTTTCACATAGCCCTAGTGTACACCGAATTAAACTAGGAGAACAGTAAAACTATTGTCAGTGTAGTGTAAGAGAAAAGGTGAGGATTGCAGACTTTAAAATATTAGGAGAAACCACAAACAATTAGGCTAGGTGGGGATCTGAGTATTCTTTTCCTTAGGCTACAGTTGCACAAACTCTGGACTGTGCTGCCCTTTCATAAGCTGGTTAGTTCTTGTGTGAGCAGGAGCACTGAAAAGCATGGGACTGTTGTTGTGAGTCAGGCTTGCACAGTTCAGGAAATCACATCACTTGATGGTCACAGTCGAAGAAAAAAATGAGTTTGTTGTCAGTTCTTCATAACAAGAAGAAATGATAAAATGATCTTCAATCTTTAAAAAGCAGAAATATTTTATAAATCCACCTCAATAATCATTTTAATTATCTCACAGGAATTCTTATTGCTAGCATTTCTGTTTGTCCTGGGCTGATTAAAGAATGACTTACTTGTTTGTCTTACTACTTACCCAGCTTGTTCAAAAAGACAGAATCTTTAATTTTATCCTCTGTTGTCAATACGTTTGTTTTTAAAACTAAGGTGTAAACAGTCTATATAATTTTAATGCCATTTGTAGTGTAGTTGTCTCACAAACCTGTAATGAATAAAACCCAATGATAAATTTGATCCACATAGCACCTGTAAGAAGCAGGAAACTGTTGAAAATGGGGAGTTGAGGCACAGACTATTGAAATCACTTGCTCAAGATCACACATGATATCTGTGCCTACACTGGTAACTGAGCATAGGTCTCAGATGACCTAGCCTAGTGTCCTACCCATTAAACCATCCTGTCTACTCATGAAAACAGTGATTATTCACTGATTGTTCTGGGTTCTTTCATAAATATATCTGTAAATAATGTATGATTATTACTTATATGTTATTATTTCTTACTGTGGGAAGCATATTACAATTACTGGTGTTTTAAGAAGCCTTCAAGGAGCTATTCACAATTCCAGCCTCCAATTTCCCCCCATTCACTTCACTGTTGCTACAACTTCCTTGTGTTGGTAGACTGTATGGGTTGGTTACCAACTCCAGCCAGTAGTCTACTGGGATGATACAGATGATATATCAATTAAGCTCATACAGGAAATGAGGAATTAAGAGTTCTGAGTTTCCCCGTGTACTGCCTTAAAGCGAATGAAAAGCTCTTCACTCACCAACACCGAATCTAGGGTTTTATTTCTCCTGGAACACTCAGCATTGCTAGTTCTTAAATAGACAGGAGGTTGCCTATTAATTAAGGTCACAGCTGTGCTGTAATTAATGCTTTAAGTGCTACTGATATCAGGGAAAATGTAGAATTCTGAATTCAAGCCTTAATGCCTTAGGAAGGAAATCACTTTCAGCCTTTTTAAAACTTAGAGCATTTTCAGGAATGAGTATATGCATGTGTGTGTGTGCCTTGTTGGTTCAGGTACAGGATGAACCCCCTAAATACCTGCTGTCAATACTGTTTGGTTGCAAGCAACCTGAGTGGCCTTGAGCAACATATAACATGTCTACTCAGCTTCTTCTGTAAAAGAAGGAACAATAACACTTCCTGGCCTCCTGGAAATGTAACACAGCTAAGTTCATTATTATGAATCACTCAGAGATACTCTACACAGCCTGATTTGTATAGTGGTTAGAGATTTGCTAATGGAAGGACTTACTGATGTCCACAGCATATTGAGATGAGGCATAACAAACAAGGAATCATCTTTGCTGCATGAGGAAATGACTGTAAACACAGCATGGTGCTGCACATTGTTATGACACCTTCTGTTCTGTATTAATTCCAGGGATCCCAAATTAAAAGCTGTAAATCCAAGGCAAATAAGAACCCTATGGAAATAGGGTTCAGATGAGAGAATTGATTTTAACATAACCCCAGTAGGAATCACAGGCCAAATTTTTGCTTTCAGTTCCATCAGTTCAAGGCAATTCCACTGGTTTCCTCAGTAGAGCTCCTCTTCTTTTTTACGAAATAAAAAGACTTTATTAATTGAGTCATGTAAAAGTGTCCAGTGTGACCCAAAATAGAAGCTGGCCCTGTAACTAAGTACCCATTTAGCTCCTGTATATTTCTGGTATCCATTGTGATAGAACGATCCTTAATCAAAATAAGCCATCACAACTTTGCCTTATAAGATCCTTCTGTAAAATGCTGGAACCACTTACATATCCTCAGCATCATCAGTACACTTGCACACACTTCGACTGAGTCCATATAATTATGTTCCATTTTTATTCATGTCAAACATTGCTTTTAGTACTCTGCCTTGCATAGATATGAGCCTTCTGGAAATAAGTCTGTTCGATAAAGGAATGTGTCTTCTTGTAAACAACATATTGGTTTAATTCTAGCTGATGTCACATTACTTCACAGCAATGTAGCTTTAATGTGGGATAGGTTATAACTGAATATGACCCCATGAACTATATCAATTGCTCTTTTTTCCTCTTCAAATGTATGTTGAATCTTAATGATTCCTCCTTCAAAATGAGACCAGTACAGCATAAGGATGACACAGGTGGCTGATTCTCATCTAAAAATTTCAGGCCAAGCCCTGAGGGGTTCAGCACCTTCTCCCATTGGATTTAGTGAGATCATGAGGAGACTTAGGATCTTGCAAAGTCCTCTGGCGGGAATAGGCCATATCCAGAGGAGCATGGACGTTTGGTTCCCTGGAGAAGAGTAGCAGCGGTGCACCTTGCGCTTCAGCTACTTGTCCCCAGGGAACGCCCATGCCATGCGCACTTTGGTGTGAGGCAAGTTACCCCAGGTTTGGTCGGGGAGGCTGGGGCCAGGACTGGACTGGCCCCAGCAGCCTTACCTGGGCTCTGGGGACCTCGCAGGACTGCAGAGGGAGCAATGCTACTGCATAGAGCCTCACTGTCAACTGGAGCATGGCTCCACTTCTGAGTAGAGTGCGTTGCCTGTGTATGCGCTGCTCCAAATTTTTTTTTTTTTTTTGCAGGTTTTTTTGACCCCTAGATATTCATGGGTCAATAAAACCCTCAGGAAAAAAAGTAGAGCAGCGCATGCATGGGCAGCGTTCCCTTGCAGCGCAGAGACCATCTAAATGTGTGGTACGTGGCACCGCAGACATATTTGTGGCACCACATATTCACAGCCACGCTTGTCTGGATGCAGCCTGTAAACTTGAGCTGAAATTCTCTGAATAGCAGCATCAAACTGGCATTGACCAGTTTTCCAAGGGTGATACTCACCGAAGGCCTTCGGGATAACAAAAAGGCCTGCAGTGCAGCAAACTTGCTGCCATGTGGAGAGATGGGTGAAATAGGTGCATGGTGGCAGAAGTGGGCATCATCTATTGGAGAGAGAGTCATTAGGGGCAGGCCAATGGAAGAGGTACAGGAACCTAGTTAATGATTGCATGGGTGCATAGAAGTGCATAGGAAATGGTGGCCTTGTTTGAGCTAAGGGCTGGAGTAGCAGCTGGAGCGAGGTTGTAATACTCTACCTTCAGTCAAAAGGCTGTTCATAATACATGGATCATGATCCTATTTGCATAAGTTGCCTATACAGAGCCCTTTCATTTGGGTGATATTTGAAGGTGTGTGATGGGAAGGTGATCTCCTTCACACAACATGCCTGTTCCTTAGTTTAATTTGTCATCTCCATTATTTTAGAGAAAGGTGCAAAGATTACAGCTGGAACAAAGTCTCTTGGGAAATGAAATGTTCCTTGTCACTTGCTTAGAATCTGTGCTAAAATGTAAACCTAGTAAGTAGGTAGAATAAGCTTCCATGTTGATTTATCATTCTCTGAAACGATAAAAGACCAGATGAATATAATTGAGGAGTGAATTTGTGTTTTACCTTCTCTTACTAAAAGAATGTAATGTAACTAGTTTAAAAGAGAATTTGCGTTCTTTAAACCCCTAAATCTAATCTGAATCATTGCCTGCAATTTATCCATTCTGGCTTGTGGTCACTGAAAAAAATCATCATGAGAGCCCCACATAACTTACAAAAAAATAGATTGCATGTTGGTCCATTAGGTTGAAACTCAAATCTCACCAGACACCAATCAACAGATTTATATAGAAATTAACAAAGACTCCTAATTTCCCCAGAATGCTTTTACTCTATATTCTAAAGCTCCTTGTGATCTAAGTGGGTGCAAGCTGTACTTAAATTAATAACCATTTACCTAAACTGTGTTTTTTAAACCAGTAAAAATAAATAAGTAAATGAAATGAAGCCATGAATGAGAATTTCCACCTCTTCTAATATACTGAAAGACTGAACACTCACTGCCTTTAACCATCATTAATATTAAACAAGCAAGATCTGTGCGTTCCACAGTTTTAGCTTCTACCATAACGATTTTACACTTGGAATGCAATGCCCGTTCTTTTATGCCTTTTCATAATACTTTTAGATGTAATAAAAAGTTATTGATAGGATGATTGACCTTTTGACCTGCATGAATTTTCTCATACAGTTTTGCCTACCCATCTTAAACTTTACCTTTTGGCACCCTTCACCCCCTCATGTAGCTACTGTTATGTGAATAAAGGACAAGTTGTTCCATTGGTTTCAAGTACCATGAGCAAGGACTGCCAGAGTTCGGCCCTAAGAGCAAAACTTCTGTGTTGCAGACTATGTGTGGGGAACAGTAGGGTTGAAACCATCAGACTAATTTTACAGTTTTGACCCAAGTTCAATCTAAATGTAAATCTTTAGAGGGGAGCAAATTAATCCACTGCATTACAGCCACCTCTGTTCACAATTAAGCTTTATTAATTCCCACTGGCTGCCTTACTCATTTATTGATAGCTTGAAAAAATAGAACAGTTAATGGGGCAGGGGAGGGGTGAAGCATGTAACTGGGTGTGTCCTCAGCAAATTAACTTACAAAATTATTAATAAAACTCCTCCAAAAGCTGTATTTTCACCTTTCTGTATTCCTCTCATTACTGCCATGTTCATATAGTGGTTAAAACAGATCGAAGGAATGGAAGCTGCCCTGACACAGAAGATGATAGACCTGGAGAATGAAAAGGTAAGAAATAATGATTAAAACTTCAGAGCCAAGTGTGTAAATGTGTGTGCATGATGAGTAGTTGTCTTTTTCTGCTTAGTGGGGATGGCCTTTTGAAACTGTCAGCCGCAGATTGCTAACCCCCCATTTGGCTAGTGCCTTTAAAGTAGAGGGCAGAAACCAGCCAGCTAGATAAATGTTGATAACCAGCAGCTATACCTGCAAAATACCACACACAAGACGTATTTTACAGGGTATAATAAGTAAATGGTGTAAAACTTGTTTGTGTGCTTCCTATGTGTATTATTTTGTCTGGCAGCAGCAGGCTCTTTTCAGCTTTGGGATCAGAGTTCATTCAAATTGCAAGAGGGATTAATTTGGACTCTAGTTTGTATTTCCTTTCACATGAGACCATCCTTCTCCTCCTTCAGGTTACCCCTCTCACTCCAGCTTCTTTTTCCACTCAGAGATGGACTGCCTTCTCAGGTGCAATTCTGGCTTGAATACCAAATTCAATATGACAATAAGCGGTACTTTGCTGTATGTCATATGAAGTGAGGTTTTTTTTTCCAATTAATGTATAGCTTTGTTGATTTATTATGCATGTAGTACATCTTCAAATCCATTTTACCATCTCCAAATTGCTTTCAAAACACCAAATGATTCTTGAAATACCTTTTTCAAGTAGATAAGTAAGCAAGCAACATTATTCCCATAAAGAAAAGGAAACTGAGGCAGAGAGGTTAAGTGACTTGCCCATGGCCATAGGGGAGCTCTGTGTCAGTGGAAATATTAAAACTCTGCTTCCTTGGTGCTCAGGCTCCTCACCTTTGAGGATGTGGCATGATACCAGTTTTATCATCTAAAGCAAGGTGCAACTCTTGTTATGCATCTGACAGTTAGAATTTTTTTTATGTGTAACTTTAAGTTTGGGAAAACATATAACCATAATGTGTTTTTGGAGAAAAATATAATCAAGACATATTTGGAAAATACATCTTTCTAACTTTAAGAATATTGGTGATACCTAGAAATCTCATGTTCTCTAAGCAATTGTATTTATTTGTGAAGCCCAGCAATCTGACAGTCTCCATGGAACACTCTCCCCTTGCCATGTAGAAATTATTTAATTAATTTGAAAATAATAATTTAGGGTGGAATTTTCAAAGGTTCTCAGTGCCAGCTTAACTAGTTAGAGCAAGGTTATGTAATGTTAAATGTGGGTGAAAACCTTATCCTTAAATCATGATTTCTGTCTTTTGTGTAGCTTGTGGCTGCTTTTTTAAATAATACCTTGAGAAATAGCATGATCTAGTGGTTAGAACCCTAGTTTAGGACTGATGTCAGGCTCTGCCTTAGACTTCCTGCATAATTTTCAACAAGTCGCTTCATGTCCCTGTGCCTTTCTCATATGTTGTTCTATGTGTGGAAGATGTAAGTATGTTAAGGCACAGACTGTCCCTTGCACAGTACACACCACACTGAATTTTATAGAGAGCCCAGCGTAGTACAAATGATAGTAAAAAAAAATAAATAAATTGAAAGCAGATGGAAATTGGTTTAGTCTTCCCTAGTGGGGAGACCAATGGCTTGAAGTTGCAGTAAAGTAGGTTTAGATTCATATCAGGAAGAACTGCTTCACTGTTAATACAGTGAGGCAGTAGAATAGACTGCCTAGGGAAGTTGGGGAATCTCCATCACTGGAAGCATTCAAGAGGTTGGATAGGCATTAGCCAGAGATGATTTAGCAGTTATAGTTATGCCTATGCTCTACTGTGGGTATTTCCCATGCTTCTGGACTTTGCTGGTTGCCCCGTGGAGTCAGGAGATAGAAGAGAGCCCAAGACAGGGGTGGGCAAAATATGGATCAGGGGCCAGATCCAGCCTGCCAGGCCATTCTATCCAGCCCACAGACCCACTAAGAACATTTGAAAATTTAGTATTTATTTGCTCCTAGCTGCCTGTCAAAGATGACAGGAGCCAGGGGCAGTAGGACCCAGGGGAAGCTGGTGTCAGGACCCAGCAGCAAGGCGTGCCCAGCCCTGCCCCTCCCCTCAAACCAGAAATCCCTGCCTAGCAGAGGTTTCTGGTCTGGGACCCTGGGGCTATTCCTGCTTCCCTGCACCAGAGAGGGAAATGCAGCCCTCTACAGCTTGCCAAACCTCAGTAAGCAGCCCTTCGCCCGAAATAATGGCCCGCCCCTGGTCTAAGAGATCCTGGGATCTCTTAGGTTTATTTTAATAATCTTGCAAGAGCAGCAGGACATTGGCCACCATGGCCTCCCTGCTTTACCTGTAGGAGGTTAGGAATTATGTCTTGGGTTTTGTCAGGGTTGACTCTGTAGTTTTGCTATGAGGTTAGACAATGGATGGATTGGATAGGGATGATCCTACCTCATGCAGAGATTGGACTAGGTGACCTCTGGAGGTCCCTTCCAGCCCTACTACTCGATGCTCTGTACTGTCATAGTCACAAAGGATGGCTTGTTTTTAATAAGTAGAGTGGCACTAGTAATAGGGACATGCATATATTATTATAATTCTTTCTGGTGCTTAAACCCTCTTCAGACTGTCAAGTTGCTGGGCTAGGCAGATTTGTTTTAAGCCAATTAAATTGAAACTTATTCATAATTGCTGCTGATTGGCTAAATTCTATTCCTGTGTTCATAAGCATAAAATCCCAGTAATGGTATTGGGAACTGCGTGTGCATCTCTGAGGCAAAATTCGGTCCAGCAATTCCAAGTAAAACTTGGTCAACCTGAATTACTTTTCTTCATTCAGCAATTTGTGAGCAACACAATGCTATGCTATGTTTGGGAGTGGTTCTGATGCTACACTACAGCATCCATACTAGCCCATAGGCACATTTTAAGGAAGCATAAAATGAATAATTTTGTCTCATAGAATTATATTTAAATTGCTTTTTACTTCAAATATTGAGGAAACAAAAAAGTTTATATTTGAACAAAGATGACACCTATAAATTGTAAATCAGACCAAATACCCTTTCTGCTTTCTGGACTACTGGTTTGTGAGCATAACAAAATACCTTGAATGGAAAAAAAGTTGAGCTATATTGGTTATATTGTTTATCCGGTGTGAAGTGCTCATTACATTTATACTTGTTAAAAATTTCAGAGTCCTTTCTCAGTGTACTGGCCAAATTCTAGCC